CAGCACCCCGAGAGTCGGAACCCCTAGGCTCAGCACCCTCATCAGCACCAGAGTCACCAATAACCTCGACAGGCTCGACTGCGTCTATGTGGGACACACCTGAAGGGGCAGGACCCTGAGGGGGGAGGGGGTCTACCGGGGGGGGACCTGGCACAAGGAAGAGCGGTGGCGGGGGGAGGGACGGAGTGCGGTAGGGGAAGAGGCGGTAGTAGGGGACCGACTCGTCAAACGTGACGTCCTGGGAGGACAGAACACGGCGAGAGGTGGGGTTGTAGAACTGCCACGCTGGCGCGTCAGGGGGGAAGCAAAGGAAGACGCAAGGAGCAGCACGAGGGGACAGCTTGTCCGCAGACAAGTCGCGGACAAACGCCCGAGATCCCCAGACACGGAACGCAGACACATCGCCAACCTTCCCCGTCCACAGCAAAGCTGGGGAGGTCTCCGGCATGGAGACCCTGGGGTGAAGGTTGATCTGATGCGCCGCGTATCGAACCGGAAACGGCCACAGAAAATGGGGGGCAACCGCATGCATCATGGACGTACGGGCGACATCCATGACCATGCCAATGCGGCGCTCAGCAATCCCATTTTGCTGTGGAGAGTCCGGAAGCGTGAAGGTCTGGCGGATGCCTCGTGCACGACAGTAGGCTCGCAGAAGGCCAGAGGAGAACTCTCCGCCTCTGTCAGAGTGCAGACGCAGAACAGGAAAGTCCGAGTTGAAGCTCTGCCTGAGCTGGAGACGAGCTGCACGGATCCAGTCGATCAACACCGCATTGACGTCACCCTTGCTGCGCAAGGGGAAGACTGTGGTGTAACGCGAGTAGTCGTCAACCACCAGCAGGAAGTAGTGCTCGTGATCCTGTCCACGGACGCGGGCCGGGCCCCACACGTCCATGTGAAGCGTCTGCAGCGGGGCCTCTGTCGGAGGAAACTGGGAGGAGTGAGGGGCAGCCCGCTGGCGCCCCTCGACACAGGAGACGCAGGTAGGGCCAGGCCTCGGAGGAAGGGGAGGGAGGGACCGGGGAAGACCAGAGACAAGGACACGGGAGGCCATGCCTCGGAGACGAAGCAGGGAGGGGTGACCAAGGCGGTGGTGCCAGAGGAGAGTCTCGTGAGACAGGAGGCGACACGAGCAGGGGGCAGACTCAGGACCAGACCTGGACGCTGCAGCAAACACCTGACCCGACGCAGCTACCTGACCAGACGCAGTGACTGGAGGAGAAGCAGTGGTCAGTGTGTACAGGCTCGACCCCGGCCGACGTGTAAACGTGGCCAGGCGTCGGCCTGTCCGAGCGTCCGTGCAGTGGGTCACCCGCTGACTCACAGGAGTGAACTGGTGAACCCCCGCATCCTGTAGGTCAGCACCACTCACCAAGTTCGTAGAGAATGAGGGGAGGTAAAGACCAGACAGGGTGCCAGAGGGGGCCGCCGGACACGGGAGGACGATGGAGAAGTGAGCAAGGACAGGACCCCCAGAAGGGTCTGCCAGAGAGATTGCATCTGGCCGGCCAAGCGGCGTGAGTGAGGTGCGGTCTCGAAAGAAGGAGCGAGAAGCCCCCGAGTCAAGGGTGAAGGTGTGGGAGGCCGAAGCCGACGTAGTACCTAAGAGAGCAGACTCACCAGCACCTGAGGGAGCAGACGCATGAGAACCTAGAGCAACAGCCTCGCTAGCACCTAGAGCAGCAGCCTCACCATTACCTAGAGCAGCAATCTCAATGCCCGGGTCGGGCGGAATACCGGTAACAGTCACCCTCATCACTTATAGTCACAGCATACATGGCAGCAAGAATAGCATCAAAGTCAAGGTCAAAGACAGCTACTCCCGCCCTAGACAGCTCGCCCCAGCGGGGGATCTAAGTGGCCTCAGGGAACTAGTGACGCCAAGCGTCCGTCAGGCGGCCAAAGCAGCGCTGGGTGGAGTGCGCACCCCCGCACTGCTCACCCGTGCGGTCGCCGGTGCGTAGGACGTAGGTGCACGGACCAGTACCCCCACCCCGCTGGCGTGCAGCGTACCACTCACGGAGCTGCTGAGGTGGGGGGATGTCACGAGTGCGCTGCTGCTGCTGCTGCTGGCGCTGACCACCACCGGAGCCGACCCTCTGCGCAGCACCACCCTGACCAGCTCCACCTCCTCCGCCGCCGCCTCCTCCACCGCCGCCACCTCCGCCACCTCCGCTCCTACCGCCACCGCCGCCACCGCCTCCGCCTCCACTGCCGCCACCGACACCTCCACCCCCGCCACCACTCCCACCACCACCCCCACCCCCTCCACTCCCTCCACCGCCACCTCCGCCACCCCCGCCAGCCCCTCCAGCACACTTGTCCCCTTTGCCCTTGCCGGTGCGGCGTCTCCTGCTCAGGGCAGACGCAGCGCCGACCGACTCGAAACCAACGAGGTCGGCCGCAGCAGCAGAGGCAACAGAGGGCAAAAGGGGGGAGGGGGAACACCCCTCAAAGACGGGGGTGCGAGGGTCACCACGAGAGGCTCCTACAGCGACTATGCTCTTCTCTGCTGCTAGGAGGGCCTTCTCGAGGAGGTCAACGGTGAGAGTGGTGGGGCAAATTGAGAGGAAGTGGTCCCTCACTACGCGGAGAGAGTCAGGGAGTCGGGTGACTATGTAGTAGAGGGTGATGTACATGGGGGGGGGGGGGGGTTCTTGGCGCAGAACTCAGCAGGAAGCGCAGCGCGGTAGCGAGTGTCACTAGTGCGGGGATGCGTAATGAGGTCAACGACTGTGGGAAAGGCAGCAAGGTCAGGAAAGAGGTACGGTAGCATGAGGCGGCTCAGTGCAGCAGTGGCAGGGGAGGAGTAGCGCGCAACTACAGCGTGGTACAAGGTCTGAGCACTCTTGTACTGGCTAAAGTGCGCACGCTGAGAGGTAGGCAGGTGGCGACGCACAGCAAGACGTGCAGCAGCATCGCGTGTGGCCCACTGTGAGCGAACAGTGGCGTCAGCATCAGCAGCAGGGGTAGGAGAGGCACCAGAGGTGAGGTCAAAGAGGGAGAGACCGTCTGCCCTATCGCATTGTAGGAAAAGCTGCAGGTCATCTACCCAGACGTCAAAGTCAATGGCCCGACCCTCAGCGTCAAAAGCGAGGACACTAGGGGTAGCCATGACAGCAGTAGACTAGCAGCGCAAGCAGTAGGGTAAGGGCAGTGCAGTGACAGAGGCGCTGCTCTTACCGGACAGGGCGGCTCGGGCGGCTCGGCGGCTCGGCAACTCGGCGGCTCGGGCGGCTCGGCAGTACGTCGGCTCGGCAGCAACTGCGGCTCGGCGACTCGGCGGCTCGGGCGGCTCGGGCAGCTCGGCGGTACAGCGGCTCGGCAGCAACTGCAGCTCGGCGGCTCGGGCGGCTCAGGTGGCGCGGCGGCTCGGGTGGATCGGACGGCTCGGCAGCAGCTCGGCGGCGCCGGCGGCTCGGTGGTGACGGCGGGGCCGTGTGGGGACGGCGGCGGGGCCGGGTGGAGCGGCGGCGGGGCCGGGTGGAGCAGCGTCGGGGCCGGGTGGAGCGGCGTCGGGGCCGGGTGGAGCAGCGTCGGGGCCAGTAGAGGCGGCGCCGGGGCCGGGAAGGGCAGCTCCGGGGCCGCAGGGGTAGGCGACGGGGCCAGCAAAGGCGGCGCCGAGGCAGGGAAGGGCGGCGCCGGGGCCGCAGGGGTAGGCGACGGGGCCGCTAGGGCGGCTAGGAGGAAGGGGGGTCGCGAGGGTGGCTTGAAGAGGCCGCGAGGGCGGCTAGAAAGGGCCGCGAGGGCGGCGTGAAAGGGCCGCGAGGGCGGCGCGACGCGACGCAGCTGCGAGGGCGGCTGATCGGGGCCGCGAGGGCGGCGCGACGCGGCCGCTAGGGCGGCGCGACGTGAAGGGGCCGCGAGGGCGACGCGACGGGGCCGCAAGCGCGACGCGACAGGGTCGAAAGAGCGGCTCGACGGGGCCGTGAGAGGGGAGCGCGACTCAGGCAGTGTAGAGCGCGCTCCGGGCAGGAAAAAAAAGGTGGTGGGCCCTAGGAACAGTTCCCACAGGGGAACCTGCTCGATACCCGGAGAATCTGAACGAGAATGGAAATGACTAAGAGAAAGTTGGGTATAAGTGCAAACCCTAGAAAGCTGTACCCCATATGTACTACCCCACTATAGCCTACAGTAGCTATGTGATATAAATCTGACAGGGTTGTCTAACTATAAAATTACATATAAATGTGTTAGGTTAGGCCTGTCGGGCTGTGGTGAGGTACGTTTTATAGGGTATATCTTTTCCCTTGGGAGTTGTGTTTGTGCCTTCTCTCTCGTTAGTGAAAATACTTCATAAATTCTAAGATGATATCACCTAGGTAGTTCCTAGGCCGTAGTTCCGTGTCGCCCTGTGTCGCCCTCAATCGCCCCGTTACGCGCTGCCCACGCTGCCTGCGCTACCCTAGCTGTAGGACCTGCACACGCTTGCACAGCAGCGCACACGCGCAGCAGAGCCCCGCGCGCGAGCAGCAGCAGCCTTGCGCGCACAGCAGCGGCCGCCATGCGCACTGAAACTGCCGTCGAGTGTCGCTGCAAACATTATCCGCACTCCGCCCCGTCCCTTGCTGCGCTCTGCCCTGCCGCCCGCGCGCGCAGCTCTATGCACGTCCCCCGCATGAGCAGACGTGCGCAGCAACAGCTGCACGCACACGCGCAGCTGCTTACGCAGTAGGAGCCGCGCGCAGGTGACTTAGTCACCTAAGTTCCGTAGATTTTAAGAGGGTTCCCTACGGCTTCGTTAGAGGTTGGTGTTGACGCCACACCACGATGAGATTTGCAAAACTGTTACCGTAGCACTCAACCATTCTTTCATTCCCTAACAATTTCCCACGCCCCATCATCGTCTCTAAACCCTAAATCCAGAACCCCTTGTCGTTAGTTCGCCGTGTCAGCAGGCCTTCTCACTTTTTGCTAAATTGGATTTTCGTTCGAGATTAGATTAGACTTTTAGCGCGCCACGCAATTTTCCTCGCGTGGCTCTGCAGCGCGGCGGAGCGATGAAGGCGGCGAAGCGGGGAGCGAAGGCGCCTCGTGCTGGTGGCGGGCGGGGGGATCTCAGCGGCCCGCAGATGCCACCCACCGTCATCTCTGACTCGCGGTTCGCCGCGCTCCACTCCGACCCGCGCTTCGCGGTGAGCTTCGACAGCAGCCGCTCTGGCTGCTTGACGGTGGGCGTGGAAATGCGATGGTTGAAGGTCGCGCTGCTGTCGCCTGCGCGCCCACCTTGGCGGCAGCCCAGTCGCCGTCCTCCAACACGCCACGTGCCTCACCCCCTGCCATGCCCCTCCCACTTCATGCCTCTCTCGCATCCTCTCGCCCTTCCTGCCAATCCCGCCTGCCGTGCTACACACATTCGCAGCAAGTCATTCCGCCTCTCCCCACTTTCCCGTTTCCCCATCGCCTTTCCCCAGCCCGCCCCTTGTCCGACTCCCCTGCGCCCTCTGTCCGCCCCATTCGTCCCACGCGCTCTCCATCTGCCCGTCTCGACGTCTTGCACAACAGCCAGGCACTTGCCGCTCCTATTCTTTCCTACATCCCCGACCCTGTCCAGAATAGTGCACCCCAAACCCTAAACTCCTGAACCCCTAACCCCGAAGTTGATTTATCAACCCCAAACCCAGGACCCTCGTCACCCCCATGCACCCCTCGTCACTTCCACGCACCCCGCGTCAACCCCCATGCACCCCTCGCCACCCTTGCGTTCCCCCCCCCAGCGCGTGCCGGTGCGCGAGACGCGCGTGGCGGTGGACGCGCGGTTCTCCGGCATGTTCCTCTCGGCGCAGTTCGGCGAGGCGGGCGGCGTGGACAAGCGCGGACGGCGGCGCGAGGCGCAGCGAGGGGCCGACCTGAAGCGGTACTACCACGTGGATGAGGGGGAAGAGGGGGAGGCGGGGGAGGCGGGGGAGGGAGAAGGGGAGGTGAATGAGGGAAGCGGGGAGAAGGAAAAGCAGGTAGAAGCAAGGGCGCGTAAGGAGGAGGAGGAGGATGAGGAGGAGAAGGAGGAGGAGGAGGAGGAGGAGGAGGAGGAGGAGGAGGAGGAGGAGGAGGAGGAGGAGGAGGAGGAGGAGGAGGAGGAAGAGGAGGGGGAGGTGCATGAGAGTGATGAAGAAGAGGAGGGGGAGGGCTCAGATGACTCGTCCTCCTCTTCCTCATCAGACTCGGAGAGTGAGAGCGATGAAGAGGCTTCAACCGCACAGGTGCTTGCCTTACTCCCACCCCTCTCTTCTCACCTTTTCCCTCTGCACCGCTCCATTTTCCCACCACCACATGCTGCTTCGGCCGCTCCCCACTCCCACTCATCTTTGCTCCACCCCCTCCTCTCTCCCCTCATCGCCCCACATCCCGCGCTGCCCCTTGTCGCGCCGCCGTCTATCCCGGGCGGCAGCAGCAGGAGGAGGAGCGAGTGGAGACGGTGGAGGAGGCAACGAGGCGCCTGGCGCTCGTCAACATGGACTGGGATAACATGCGGGTGAGATGAGGGAGGAGAGGGGCGATGTGTGGGTGAGATGAGAGAGGAGAGGGGCGACGTGTGGGTGAGATGAGAGAGGAGAGGGGCGACGTGTGGGTGAGATGAGAGAGGAGAGGGGCGACGTGTGGGTGAGATGAGAGAGGAGAGGGGCGACGTGTGGGTGAGATGAGAGAGGAGAGGGGCGACGTGTGGGTGAGATGAGAGAGGAGAGGGGCGACGTGTGGGTGAGATGAGAGAGGAGAGGGGCGACGTGTGGGTGAGATGAGGGGCAGCATGAAGTGGCACAATCAGGGACGTGAGGGGGGGGGCGTATGGGGGTGAGCATGGCATGCACATGGGAGGGGAGCAGGCAAGGACATGGGAGGGGAGCAGGCAAGGACATGGGAGGGGAGCAGGCAAGGACATGGGAGGGGAGCAGGCAAGGACATGGGAGGGGAGCAGGTAAGGACATGGGAGGGGAGCATGGGGAAGAGCAGAGCCATGCACAGTGGCTGGACTACTTCCATGCACAGTGGCTGGACTACTTCCATGCACAGTGGCTGGACTACTTCCGTGCACAGTGGCTGGACTACTTCCATGCACAGTGGCTGGACTACTTCCATCCACAGTGTCTGGACTACTTCCATGCACAGTGGCTGGACTACTTCCATGCACAGTGGCTGGACTACTTCCATGCACAGTGGCTGGACTACTTCCATGCACAGTGGCTGGACCACTTCCGTGCACAGTGGCTGGACTACTTCCATGCACAGTGGCTGGACTACTTCCGTGCTCCGTCTTGCTGCACGCTCACTGCCATCTCACGTCTCTCCTCTCCTGTTCTTTCCGTTCCCTCTTGCTCATCCTCCCCCCCCCCCCGCCACGGCAGGCAGTGGACATCCTGGTGGTGCTGCGCTCCTTCGTGCCGCCCGGCGGGCGCATCACAGCCGTCACCGTGTACCCCTCTGACTTCGGCCGCCAGCAGATGCACGCCGAGCTTGAGCGCGGCCCCCAGGGCCTCTTCCAGGCGGGCAGGGGGGCAAAGGGGACGGCAGGCAGGGGGCCTCAGGTGCAGGGGGGTGAGGGCGGTGAAGAGGAGGAAGGGGAGAGCAGTGAGGAGGGCGAGGGCGTGGATGCGGAGAGGCTGAGGGAGTACGAGAAGTCCAAGCTCAGGTGAGGGAGTACGACAAGTCCAAGCTCAGGTGAGGGAGTACGACAAGTCCAAGCTCAGGTGAGGGAGTACGACAAGTCCAAGCTCAGGTGAGGGAGTACGACAAGTCCAAGCTCAGGTGAGGGAGTACGACAAGTCCAAGCTCAGGTGAGGGAGTACGACAAGTCCATCCCAGGCCCATCCTGTCGGCCCATCCTGTCTGCCCATCCTGTCTGCCCATATCCCACACGTTTCTATCCCGACTCTGCATGATCGTTTCTTATCAGCTCACCTTCTTCCATATTCCTTGTCGCTCTTGTCAGCACCCTCTGCGCGCCCACAGGTTGCCAGTTTGAGTGCCCAACCCTTCTCCTCCCCCTCCGCATGTCCTCCTCCCCTACCCCTGTGTGCGCCGTGCCGTGCCGTGCAGGTACTACTATGCGGTGGTGGAGTGTGACAGCGCGGCCACGGCGGCACACGTGTATGGGGAGTGTGACGGCATGGAGTTTGAGAACAGTGCCAACCAGCTCGACCTGCGCTTCATCCCCGACGCCATGGCCTTCAACCACCGACAGCCCCGCGACTCCTGCACCCAGGTGCCATGTCACCCCTCCGTGTGGTGTGACCCCTCCGTGCCATGTCACCCCTCCGTGCCATGTCACCCCTCCGTGCCATGTCACCCCTCCGTGCCATGTCACCCCTCCGTGCCATGTGACCCCTCCGTGTGGTGTGACCCCTCCGTGCCATGTCACCCCTCCGTGCCATGTCACCCCTCCGTGCCATGTCACCCCTCCGTGCCATGTCACCCCTCCGTGCCATGTGACCCCTCCGTGCCATGTCACCCCTCCGTGTGGTGTGACCCCTCCGTGCCATGTCACCCCTCTGTGCCATGTCACCCCTCCGTGCCATGTCACCCCTCCGTGCCATGTCACCCCTCCGTGCCATGTCACCCCTCCGTGCATGGAGTCGTGCTGGTCCAACACCAGAGGCCTCTCACGTCGTGCCGCATCACACAATGCATGCGTCGGTCGGCACAAGCCAACTGTGCACGCCAATGCGTGCATGGAGGTCAATTACCGGAGACCAGGCTGCTCTTCTTCACCCTGCACTCAATCTCCCCTCGACCTCACTCGCTGCTTACGCGCACCCGTGCAGGTGCCAGGGGACTACGAGGCACCGCTGTTCACCACGCGGGTGCTGCAGCACAGCACCTTGAAGCTCACGTGGGACGAGGACGACCCCATCCGCGTGCGAGCGCTGCGCCGCAAGTTCGCCTCCGACCAGGTGAGCGTGCCGGCCAGGTGAGCGTGCCGGCCAGGTGAGCGTGCCGGCCAGGTGAGTGCCGGCCAGGTGAGTGCCGACCAGGTGAGTGCTATCTACCCTCAAGGGGCGTGCCATGCCAGGAGATGCATCTGCCTTCACCACTCCCTCTCCCCTCTTGCTTCCCCCCTTTTTATTCCCCTGAACACCCTTTCCTCCGTTCTCCCTTGTTGTTTTGCTCCTCCTGTTTTCAACCCCCCCTCCCCCCCTTTCTCCTGCGGGCTGGGCATGTCCTCACGTGTCCTGTGCGCTGCTCTCTGCAGGTGGCGGATCTGGACTTCCACGACTACCTCGCCTCGTCCTCGGGCGAGGACGAGGAGGAGGGGGAAGAGGAGGAAGAGGAGAAAGAGGAGGAGCAGGACGAGGAGGAAGAGAGAAAGGAGAATGGTGGCAGGAAGGAGGAGGGAAAGAAGAAGGGCGGAGGCACAAGAGAGAAGCTGAGGATGCTGTTGAAGGGGCTGGCGGGGGATGGCGGAGGCAAGGGGAAGAAGGGGAAGGGGAGACCGGGAGAGGCAGAGGGGGAGGAGTCGGATGGGGAGGGGTGGGGGTCATCAGGGGTGGAGGGCGACATGGAGGTCACGTTCAGCACGGGGCTGGCGGCGCTGGGCGACAAGCTGGCGCGGCGCCGCAGCGAGCAGCAGCGCAGTGGCAGCGAGACGGTGTTTGAGGCGTACCAGCGCCAGCGCAAGGAGCGCCGCAAGGAGCGCCGCCGCCTGGCCGAGGCGAGCAAGGCGGCAGGAGGGGGCGCAGGGGGGAGTGCGGAGGAGGAGGCAGGAAGCGACGACGATTTGTACGACAGCAGGCGCGTGCAGCAGGAGGACGACCCGTTCTTTGCCCTGCCCGCAGATGAGGACCCCTTTGCTGATCCCTTCTTTGCCTCCACTCATGCCGGTGCTGCTGTGGGCAACGGAGGGGCTGGAGTGGTGAAGGGAGTGAAAGCAGGGAAGAGTGAGTATGAGAGGAAGGCGGAAGAGCGCGAGAGGAAGAGGGCGGAGCGGGAGCAAGAGAGGGCAGAGGAGGAGAGGCGGCGGGCGGAGCTGGAGCTGCTGCTGATGGAGGGGGGCGAGGGCGGGGGGGTGAAGGGGTTGAACCTCACGGCGCACGCACGCACGGCCAACGAGCAGCGCCGCGTGCAGGGCAGAGGGGCGAGGGGGGCGCATGGCGCAGCGGGGGAGGAGGAGGCTGACGGGGAGGGAGGAAGAGCACGGTCGGTGGGTGGTGGGGGCAAGGTGGGGAGGGGCGGAAGGAAGGGGAGGAGTGTGGAGCAGGCGGGGCAGGAGGCGGGGCGGGGTGTGGACGTGGACGTGAATGACCCACGCTTCGCTGCTCTCTTCACCTCTCCGCACTTCGCCATCGACCCCACCGACCCCCGCTTCCTCAAGTCAGTGCTACATCGCACCCCACTGCTGCCATCCCATCCCATTCCCCCCCATTCCATTCCATCCCTGCCACTCCATCCCATCCTCTGGCCGCCATTGCGTGTCATGGCGCGTGCCCCTCACAGCCTTGGCGCTGCTCCCCCCTCCCCCCAATCACCAGGTCGTCAGCCCCGCAGCGCCTGATAGCGGAGAAGCAGCGCCGCCGCGTGCCAAGTGGCGCAGCGGGCGGGGGAGCAGCGGGTGGTGGCGGGAGTGGCAGCAGTGGTAGGGGTTCCGCCAGCCATGCGCGGGGGGTTCCAGGGGGGCTGGCAGGTGGGCGGGGGGCTGGGGATGGGGAGGAGGGGAAGGGTGCGGGTAGTGGCAGGGCGGAGCTGAGTGTGGTTGTGAAGAGCCTCAAGCGCAAGATGGGGCAGAGCACACACAAGGCAGGGCCAGGAACAGGGAAGGCAGCGCCAGGGACAGGCAAGGCGGAGGGCCTGAAGAGGCAAAAGAAATGACGCGTTCGGGATGAGGAGAGGGTGGTATGAATGATACACTGAGGCCGCGCTGCTGCCGTCATCTTCAAGTTAGACGCCCCTGGAAACATCAAGGTTCCAGAGGTCAAAACCTGGGGGTGCTTACTCCCAGGGTGTATTCAGTTTTCGTTTTATGTACCGTGTCACTCTGGATAGAGGAGCACCTGCGCTTATAAGAGCGTGTTCTTACGGCCCCCTATCAGGCCAACCACTTGTCAGACTCGCCTTTAAAACCGAAATGCAAAATAGTGAACCCGGGGCCAGCTTGAAAGGGGGCCTGCCGAGCGAAACAATTTTCTCTCGTTTGCACTGTTCCTTCGGGAGCATTTTTGCAGATCGAACAGATCTGATTGGTTCTCGCCAAACCCAAAAAAAAGGAAACACAGCACGTCAGGCGTCGCACATCTGTTTGGGAAGGCGCACACCTCTAGCACCGCGATCGCCCACGCACGTCCTTGCGATTTTGGGCCCAGCTTGGGGTTCAAGTTGGGCCTGGGTGAACTACTAGTTCTTCCGATCATACATCTCTGTTTTTTAGTTATAAATAGCCTGCCTAGCCATAGAACCATCAACTTAGGCCGTTGTGGTTTCAATTTTGACGCACAGTGAAGCTGGCATGGTTGTATAGTACTTTGTGCCGTTTCGAACGCACTCTCGCCGCCTTCCCATCGATTCTCGCTCGCCCTCCCGTTCCGATCATCCTCGCGCCGTCCGTTCCGTCGTTCGTCCCGTCGCCGTCCCTTCGCCTTCCCGTCACCGTCCCGTCGCCGTCTTGTCGCCTTCCCGTCGCCGTCCCGTCGCCCTCCCTCTCTGTTCGCCTTTCAATCTCTGTTCGCCATTCAACTCTCCGTTCGCCCTTACCCTCTCCGTTCGCCCCTCCCCTCTCCGTTCGCCCTTCCCCTCTCCGTTCGCCCTTCCTCTCTCCGTCGCGCTTCCCCTCTCCGTTCGCCCTTCCCCTCTCCGTTCGCCCTTCCCCTCTCCGTTCGCCCTTCCCTCTCCGTTCGCCAGTCCCCTCTCCGTCGCGCTTCCCCTCTCCGTTCGCCCTTCCCCTCTCCGTTCGCCCTTCCTCTCTCCGTTCGCCCTTCCTCTCTCTGTGGCGCTTCCTCTCCCGCCGCCCCTCTTCTCTCCCGTCGCCCCTCTTCTCTCCCGTCGCCCCTCTTCTCTCCCGTCGCCCCTCCTCTCTCCCGTCAACCTTCCTCTCTCTCCTTACTACGTCGCTCTCGCTGTTCTCGCTCGAAGTACTACCGTGCCTGATTAAATTGTTTCTTTAAAGCTCGCAGCCCAAATTGTTCAACCTTAATAAGGTTGACCTTTGGGTGGTGGGAGAAGAAGTTGACTTGTTGGGAGTTGGGCTGTTTCCTTTCGCCCAGTTTCGCGCTAGACCCTTGGGGTTTTCGTTGACACGGCAAACCCCTGGGAGCAACCTGGGTTTGCTTCGAGAGTCCCAAATTGCAATCAACATATTGTTGTTCCCTGCTCTCCCATTCGACAAAAAAAAACTGGCCAATCAGATTGCATCTCACTTCTCGTAACCACCCTTCGCAACCCAAACAGCACTCAAAACATCACCCCCGTCAACCTTAGTAAGCTTGGCCAGCGCGCCCCGCAATTTGGGCCGCGAGCTTTAAGGTGGCATTGGGCACTGAGAGGGACGTGGGTTATGCGGCTCTCTCATTTTGGATTTACGAATTAACTTGGATTTATTTTATGTTAGAAATTTTCATCGGGTGAACCATTCAGCCTTGGTGTTCAAACATTACTCACGCTCTCCCCGTCGCATCTCCCTCGCGCTCACGCTCTCCCCTCCCATCTCCCTCACGCTCACGCTCTCCCCGTCGCATCTCCTCTCGCTGCCCCTCGCCCTCGCATTTGCTAGCGAGCCCCGCTGTTATTCGGCTATCTCGTCTGTCCCGTCGCCCAGCCATAGCCCTGTCGCCCTCACAATCACCCCTCCCTTCATCTCGCCCTCACGATATCCATCCAATTCCGTCGCAATCGATGCCTCTGCTGCACTTAGTCGTATTCTTCAGTGTATGTGTGTGCTTGGGATCTTGTCTGTGCTGTTGCTAGATGTGCATTTGATGAAGTCACAACTCGTCAAATGGTTGCACTGCCTTGCACGTCGCAGCTCTTTGCGCCAAATTCGCACATCTGTTTGGCTGCCTATCAAAATTGAGAAAGAACTTTGTTCCTTGTTCACTCCGAAACTTGTCTGGAGCTGGAAAAAAACACACGCACAGTACTTCAACCTTCTACAACACTACAAAGAAACTTGGGTCTTCAAGTTGGACCCAACTAGAAGGGGGGGGTCACTATTTTAGCTGCTGGCTTTAACACCCACATCTCTGGGTGTGTAATGCAACTAATTATCTGACCTGTGTGTCCAGCTTTGTTAGGCCCCTTGGCCTAAATCCGCTAAAGATTAGCGGGGTCGACTAAGTCGAGGACCAAACGCGGCGGAAAACTTTGGCGAAAAAACTATTGATGAAATAGGCGAAGTTACCGAGTAGTTGAAGAGTTGAATGAGAATTGGTTGATCATGGCAAGTGAAAGCAAGGTTGATATACCATGCAAGATCGAATGTCAGAAAGTACTTCATGGGACTAGGAATTGAAGGCAAGAAAAGTAGAGTGCCACGTGGCACTAGGAAATCTGTGAAGATAGGATAAGGATTGGGTTGGGAGGGAATGACTGTTCAGGATGAACAGCAAACTACCCTGTAATAGGCTTGCTCTAAGCGTGCATAGTCGCGTGGGCTATGTGGCACGCAGCAACAGTAACCTATACATATGATTAACCGTTCTGCCCTAGAATCGTCGCATGTGAGCTTGACTCGAAACAAAATGTCAGAACAGAAACCGTAGACATAAGTGTCATTCAGACCTGAAATCGTCCATAACTAACTACCGTACGAATTCCACGCACTGAATTTTCGCAACCATTCTCGACAAAACAGCAATGTGTCTGCACTGCACATGTCAAGCGTGGGTGCTGCACGTGATTTGCTGATGTGGCACGCCAGACAGAGTTCGCGCTCGCAAAAAGAAGTGTTTTCTAATGAGAAGCTCGCGTGGGGTGTTTCCTGTTATGAGGTTAGGCTGATAAGGGCTCGTAGGAACATGTCCTAATACCGCAATCTCCCGGTTAGAAGACCCACTGGTCTTATCCCAAGTGTGCTAGAAATGGGTTGTGGGGTTATATTTGATGGCATGTAGTGCAAAAGACCATGTGTTGAAATGATCTATAGCGGAATGGACTGCACTAGCAGGAATCATGTGCAAGTAGTAAACCCTAATTGGGTTGTACCCTCTAGAGAGTACCGTAGAATCGGCCGGTAAAATTTGCTGTTATAACTGAAGGATCGAAGTTGATAGGATAAGATTGCTGAGTTGAAGTCCTTGTAGTGACCGTGCTAATAGTAGTTGAAGAGAACAAAATGAGTTTAAGATAGAAGTACAAGGGTATAAATAGCAAACTAGCTAGCCATGTACTATGAAGGGTACATTCCCTTATTAACCGTATTGCATAGCTATAGTAACCACGACTATTGCTCTTCTCGACAGTTACCATGTTGCATCGCGTAATTACCAAGTGCGTTCATTGGGCGGTCAACAGTCGCGACCTCTGACTTGCTGTGACAGTTGACCTTCGGGTGACTCTCTATCTGCCGTGTGCTCTATATGAGCTACTACGGTACTGGTACAGTGGCGCTACTTCGTTATGTAGTGGTGCTCTTAGGAGAGAGCCTTCGGGAATGTTATCATAACCTTTCAAATATTCCAACACTCCCCTTCATTTCTGAGGGTGAGCCACGTGGGACTTCTTGGTGATCCCGCAAAGGTCGGCGCAGTGCTGGAACTTCTGAAGTGGCAGTTTCTTCGTCAGAAAGTCGGTTGCCATGTCACCAGTTGGGCAGTACGTGAGCTTGACCTTGCCCTTGTCGATCTCGTCCTTGACGAAGAGGTAACGGAGTACGATGTGCTTCGTACGGTTCACGAAGCCGGGCTTGTTCGCGATATTGATCGCGCTTTGATTGTCGCAGAGTAACGTGAAGTGCCCGTTCATCATTACTTTTGCTTCCTGTAGGAGCTCCATCAGGTACAATCCTTCGCGAACACCTGTACTGGCGGCGATGAACCCCACTTCGGCCGACAAAAGAGCAATGAGCTATTCCTTCTGAGAGTTCCAAAAGATGATTCCAACTAGTTGGAGTTGAAAAATGAATCATGTGCAGGAGAGTTTGTTGTCAATGTCTTCTGCATGGTCCGCGTCTATGTAGCCGTGAAGCTACAGAGTAGCAGTTAAGTTGGCTTCGTAGGTGAGTCCGACGTGAGAGGTAGAGATGAAATATTGGAGGGCTTGACGTAGGTCCTGTAGATTTGCCCCTTCAGGTCGCTTCAGGTACTGTTTGAGATGGCTTGCAAAGTAGGAGAGATCTGGCTGGCACGTGACGGCGGCGAACAAGAGACACCCCAGCTACTGCTGATAGAGCCGATGGTTATCGATGTTGTCGATGGTTTCGGGTTCATGATCAGGAGGAGGAGTCCGGAAGGGGGTGGTGCGGTTGATCGGAGCAATGGCCATTCTTTTCGCAAGTGTTTCCGCGTATTTGGCGGCGGAGAGGTGAATGGAGGTGGCGGACTGGGTAATATTGAGACCCAGGAATTGCGTGACATTATGGTTGATTGTCACCTCGAGCTTCTCCTTGATTTCTTCTTCAAAATGGTCCAGCAGCTCCGTGTCATTACCAGTGTAGAGGAGGTCTTCCACGTAGGCGACAAGAAGGATGAATTTGCCGCGTCACTCCTTCCAGTACATCCCGAGTTCATGTGGCAGCTGAGTGAATCCGAGCTCCATGAGAACGGTGTGCAGATAATGCTACTACAGGGGAGGTTCTTGTTTGATCCCATAAAGGGATTTCTGGAGAAGGCAGACGGCGCCGTCGCTTTCTTCGAAAGCGTGCGGCTGCTCGACAAAGATGATGGTGTCGACAGGTGCTCAATCCCCTTCTTGGCGAAGAGTTGCTTGAACTCAGTTGAGAAGAACTCTGCCCCACCGTATGTTTGGAAGCTCTTTAGCTTCAATCGTGATTGACGATCTACTCGTTTCATCCGAGCAATGAAGCATTCGAAGGCAAGAGAGCGGCAGTCAGTGTTGATGGCCCAGACACAGCGTATTCATGCGTCGATAAAGGTTGTACATTTCGCTGTCAAGCCCTTCCTACGTGAGATTCATGAAGTCGTTGTAAACCTTTTCGAGTGGTTCACAGCGTTTGTAGCCAGGAGGTAAATCCAGGAAGGGCTTGTGGGCAAGCAACACGGTGGGGCAGACGATGCATGGAGGGTCAACTGAGTTTGCTGTGAGGGAACCTCTTCTAGGAAGCAGCACCGCGTCAAATTCAAAGAATCCAGCCTTGATGGAGTTTTTGAGTGTGACGTGAGAGGGATGTCCAAGTTGTTGATGCCAAATTTCTGGTTCTGCTTGGTAGCCGACTGCCTTATGATAATATTTGTGTCTTTCCACTTCGTCCCGCTGCCCCTCTACATGTCCCTTGTCAACGGCGTTGTCCACATTGGCTGCAAAGGCTCGGGCGCAGAGGTGCTTCTGGACAGCGTCGGGAATTTCAATGATGTCGTCCGTGTCTACGGTTTGGACTGCGTCGGTCGTGACGAGCGGTTGCGGAAAAGATCATGCCTCAGGCCATTCGGAGGCGGGAAGTCCCTCCATCAAAACGCGATGGTAGAGATACTAATCGTCGATGACCGAGATCAGCTGAGGTCCTTGTTCCGGCGGCGGTGCTTCCTCAGTAGGTTCGGGTAGCTCTACTGCTCCTCCGAACTCGTAAGTCATTTCTTCTGACTCCTCGTATACTTCCTCTGGTGCGTTAGGAGCATACTGATCTGGAAGAGGAGGTCCGCCCCAACTGGTGCCACGCGTTGCCCAGTACGGATCAACCACCGCTACATCCGCAGGAGGGAGTCTTGGGGCTTCAGGATAAGGAGGATTCGGCGGTCCCAGATGTTTAACAAGGTTTTACAACCGCCTCCTCCTGTAGCAGCCTCTCCTTCTGGTGTTTGGACCACACCCCAGCCGCCCGTGGTTGATTCTTTGGATGTTTCAATGACTCCCCACGGGCCGATTGTAGGGTTGGAACTTGCCCAGTTAGTGCCAGCTGCTGGAGTAGCTCCTAGTGTCAGCTTCTGTAGTTGCTGACCTTCCGCCGTCCTCCTCTTCCATTGTTGCAAGTCTGGTATCACCGGGAGTAGAGGTT